GTCGTGAAAGCGACTACACGCTCGAGGAACGCTGGTCGAGCACTGACTGGCAGACACGAGCACTCCACCTCGAGCACCGGTCGACTCGCGTGACGCCTGATTGGCTGATTGGCCGACCGGTCGACTGGCTTGACTGGGTAGATGCTGGTTATACCCGACGACTTCGTCCCGATCCTCACGGTCGTTCTTCCTCCGAGCTGTTTCGATGTCTGGTCTTCGCGCGCGCGCATGCGCGTTCCCCCGATTCTATTGAGTCTTCTGCTCCTCCAAGAGTGGCGGCCAGCCTGTAGCCGCGGCTCTAGAGGGCCTCCGCTTCTTCGTCTCCTTCTTCCACTTCTTCTTCGCGTCCTCTTCTTTGGGTCCGCTCCTTTTTCCTCCGTAGGGAATTTTAATTGTGCCACTGAACATATAGGGCGATTCAAATAGGGTTAGTTTATGAGAGAGATGGCGTCGAGAGTCAGGGATGTGTTTTGGCAAGAAACAGACCGTGCACTCTTCCCACGTTGCATAAGATGGATCCCAATCTCCTCTCGAATCGTCCAATCTCACACAGTTGGTAGTTTTAAGACCTTTCCGTGGAAAGGTTGGAATTTTTTCTCGTGGCACGTATATTGTAATCCTCGCAATAGAGGGGCTGCCTCGTTCGAAAAATGGCACTTCTCAAAATGGCCGATGGAGTAATTACGTCTCGGGAAATTTCGAGAAATCTTGCAACGCTGATCGATTGGAAACAAAGGTACACGCACACTTTGTATCCCGTACCATTGCACGTCGACCGTGAATAGAACTGCGCGTGCAGTTTTGCTCAAGCTCGATCAGCCAGATCGAATCCGCGACGCAGAAAGCGTGTACGCGCTGCTTGCGCAATCACCGTTGGCTTATTTAATAAAACAAAGTTACGGCTAGTATCGAGCGGTAATAGCGTGCTCCGGGGAATGCTACTGTTGTTCAGCCGTCCAATGCCGAGAAGTTGACACGGCCGCTCGTTTATCCAGCAGGCGTGAACGCGTTCAGGTCTACCACGTGCATGCAAAGTCCCGCAGAGTCCTTGCACGGTACGCATCGAGAAGCAGGACACCTAAAGGCTAATAATCTATGCACGGTGGACAGTTACGAGGCAGCCGGTGTTATTCGAGTCGTGCCTCCGTCTAACCCACGTTAATCCACCTTTTGGCCCAACTATCCCTCGCCTGTCGATGACACGTTGGCGCAGAGTCTAGTTCCATCGGACCGACCTTGCGTGCACGCTCGACGTCTCGCAGTGGAAAGAAATGTACCATCTTAACCCTCTGCGGACGGAGTGATTTTGAGTAAACCGTACCGTGGGACCGAGACGCTGCCGCGATAGTCATTCAAAACTACCAGCGCGATTTTCGTTCATAGCGACGCTGGCAATAAGGACATGAAACAGTCCAGCACAGAACTTGGGACGTGTGCGGTCCTAGGACCGCAACCGTGGACGCATATATGGGTTCTTTGATACGAGGAAAGAAGGATTCTGTCGTTATCCAGGGTGTCGATTACTGGCTAGTTTAGGTTCAGGCTGAAACGCGATCGGGGACCAGTTGTCATCGAAAACTCAGTGACCGTTTATTTAATTTTTGGCTGAAACGCATCCTCGATGGCGGCCTTTTTGTGCAGATATCTTCTTACGTTCCTATTCCGTGTCCTTTTTCGTATCTTAAATAATGCACACGCCACGGATCCTATCCGTCTTTGACCTCATCGAGTAATCCGACGCTTCGTCCACGAGTCGCGGAGCACAAACTCCGTGCTTCGATTTCGAAAGAGGGCTAACGTTAATTAGCGATATTTCAGAGCGACACCGACGGTTGTTACGATATTATATTATATCATTGTCTCGTAAAGACACGTAATGACGCGAGTGAGCAGCGAGGTGGCAAGATACGAGCGGAGAACCTGCTTCGATAAGTATTTTCGTTACGTAAAACTGGGAAGTGCGAGATGCCTTGGCGAGCGTGGATAAATATTAACGCTGTTGAAAAATCAGGAAGCAGAAGGCTGGAGTAGTTGGTAGAAACTCTAGTCCAAGGAGAAGGATGATATCCGATCACGCAACCGCGGGTACTCTCGTTCGCCCACCAGAAGGTGCCAGCTACGCGCTGCTTTGACGGAAGTGGCGTTGAAAGGACGCGTACTCGCGCCCAGCCGACGCGTCAGCCCGCGTACGCCTACGAGCAGGCACGAAGCGAGTGACAAAATCCGCGATCGTTCGAAACCCCGACGATAATCGGGGACACGATCGCGAGCGCGTTAATCGAACGGAGACACGCTGCTGGCCGATCCGCGGAGCAGGTGTAGCTCGTCTAGGATCCGATCTTGCAGCATCCTCCCTCTACCACGCCGCTTTCTACTTTCACGTCTGTTCGATATGCACGATATCTGCATAATACACGACTGGCGTCCGAGCGGATCGCACGGGGTTCGGGGTGATCTCGGTGGTCGTGGCCGGGGAGAAGGAGAAAAAGGAGGTGTTCCAGGAAACGCGAGCGACCCGACTGCATTCAGACCGCTTCGCCATCCTTGCTCTAGCCGCCGATCACGATGCCCGTCGATCCTTTCTCGCCGACGCCGCCGCTCGTTCCTTCCAGCGGTGGTGCCCCTCTCCCGGGTGACCCGATCTCTCGAGCGCCGCGACGAACAGGTTAAAGTAGCTCCTCCGCCGTGTGTATGTACGTACCAGCAGCCTACCACTCTCGGCCTACCAGCCGTATTATTACGTGTCGCTTTGCGGGCCTTACGGCTCCCGTGTGCGCGCATGTAACAGGTTCCAGTCGCACGCAATGGTCGACGGATCGCTCGCGGGAAAAATGAGAAAGACGGCACTCTGTGCTCGTAAACTCCGGGCATGTAGAAGAAGATCCACTTCTTCTCTTCGCGGTAAAATCTCGCAAGCGTCGCGTCTACGACCGAGGTGGTAATTGCTTCCACGACCCCCTCGTTACCGGAGGTCGCGCAGTACCATTTTCTGCATAATGCGCTCTTTCAACGGCTCGCCGAGCTCGTAAGGGTGCACGGCTACCCCGTCTGTAAAGGCGAATGGCGAAATGGGTGCACCGCGAAGTGAGTCCGGTCGGTTGTTCGGTTAGAGAGGCTTTAGAGAAGCATAGAGAAAGAGGGCTACACGAGGCGAGTGGCTGACGTTGACGAAGCCAAGTCTCGGATACGGGGAGCGGGTCTGAAAAGGGGGTACGGCTGACCGCGGTTACCCTCGTCCTCGGGTACCTCTTCGGCAGTCTGCGGAGAAAAAAGATCGGTCGGCAGCCGCAGAGGGAGCTACGACAAATTAACTACGCATGATCCTGCGACGAGATAGCCGGTATCGGTACCGGAGTATAGCGGATCCTGTGTACTGGAAGGCAGGGGGCCGAGAACCCGGTGTGTTGTACCGTGCAAGTCGGTCCTTATACGGGTCTCGACACGAGGTTCGCTCTCCCTCGAGCAAAAAGAACCCTCCGGTGCCGTGGCACGGTCTGTAGCACGGTTTCGGTGGCCCGTCGAATACGCACGGTACCGTACATCCTGCTCTCCTCATCGCGAAACCGCGACCAATTGAATATTCCCCATCGCGCCGGATATTAAGCGCAAATAGTCAGGTCGAACGTCGGCTAGAGAGTTCTAGGAAGAAACTAGGGGATAATCGGCGCGATACTAGGTGGAGCACTGAAGGCTCGAAGTAGAGGGCAATCAATTACGGGTAGTCAAAGTGGATAACGTGGTCGTCGCTCGACGATGACCCATATAAAACACCAGTGGCTCGCGTCTTTATCGAAAAGAAGCGGATCTCACTCAGGCATTAATCATCTTCGAGCACTCGACAGCGGCAAGCTGCTCCATCTGACGCTCGAGTTTCCCATTCCTTCGAATTATTATACTCGCGATTGGTCAAAGATCGACCGGCTGGACCGGTCTGGCGTTACGGAGAAGACCGGCCAGCCACCGAAATGCATCCGTGTTCGTAACGTTCTAGTCGAACGCAAGAATAAGTAAATTCATCGTACGAGGAGCAACGGTAAGCCTTTGCAGCCGGTTAATTACGGTGCAGCAGGTCGTACGTTGGCTGGGACGCGATAAAGTATCGGGAACGTCGATTCCGGAGGCCGGAACCCTGCAAAAATGGCGGAGCCTCTGCCGGCAGGGAGCGCAGCGTCCGCCGCGGCGACTCGCCGTTAAAAACGACGCGTTCGTAGCGAGGTGCCCGTTTAATTACCGATGCTCGTTTCAGCGTGGGCTCTCCGGCTCCGTTGCACCGCCACAGGCCTGATCCCGGTCCGCCCACCCGCATCCGCCACACTGGCCTACGTGGAAAGGTGCAATATACACACCTTTATGCCCGTACGCACGTAACGACCCGTCGTCCACCGATCCGCGTCGCTCTTTAGTTTCGCGTTTTTCCCTAAACCACTCGACTTTCGCCGTTCCACGCGTTGCCCTGCTCTCTTCCCGCAGCGCCCAACGACGTTCTACGAATCGGTGATCGGTAATCGGCAGGGATAACCGGGACCCGTGGGGTTTCGAATCGCAGTTTAATTATAGCGGGGGTAACGGTAGCGAAAGGTTCGAGCGAGCAAGAACAAATCGCGATTACCCGTCGAACGCAAAAGTGTCAAAACTATTTATAGCGTGGCTGGCATGATGTCGAACGGCATGCCGAAGGGCCGATGAGAGGAAATTATTCGCGTTACTTCAACCTCTACCGACGCATTAGGCACAATTGGGTGCGTGGGCAATGTTAAACGTTAAATCGTTCGTCATGATAGGAGACGATGCGACGAGATTGCTCGCCCACGTACGAATTTCCTGCGGCACCGATGCGGTGTACTTTATTCGGGTCTAGGTACCACAACCTCGCGATCGTCGCGATTAAACCTGGTGTCTCGTTCAAACGGAAACCACGCGTCCTTCGCTATCCTGGCTATCGTCGCGATTCGA